GTGTACCCCAACTTCCCTTTCTCTGAAAAGCAGGCTGGGGCGCTGAGGGGTCTGTGCCAGCACAGCCCATGGTGCAAGACCTGCCGAGTCTGCTTTCCCCTCCCCCACACAGCCCTGATGCACGGAGACAGGACATGAACAGGCCATATGTGAGAAAGATGCTGCAGCGGGCCGCGACTTGTTAGATGCAAATAAGTGGCTCTTGACCTAGATAAATGAGCTCGAAATTTGAACACACCAAAGTGAATTCCAGTCAATGTCTGGGTTTTCTAGTGGAAGTTATGGAACTGCCCATCTTTAGACTCTGTCCAGCATCCTGAGCAGCTGTGACATGAGGCTGCTGTGGGTGCCCTCTCTCCGTGGGAGGTGTGGCCAGGCTCTTCAGCTCGGGAGGAGGGGTGCTGGGCCCAGCTGCTGTCCTCCCCTCTGCCGGGAGGGCAGGAAGCTGAGCTCTCTGACGAGCCCCACTAATCTCAGTTCATGATTTAGTGCTTTGCTTCTTCCACTTAACACTTTTGCATTATAACCTCAGCCTGCCCAAGTGTGAGGCACCCTGACTGACATATGGAAGACATGTTTTAAGTCTGGAAGCTCTCTCGGTGCCTGAGGACGCCAGGTGGACACTCTGTCCCTGACACCTCAGTAGATTGCCTCATCTTTAACTGCCTTCTCTCGCTGGACCTTGCAGTTCTGTTACAATTCTGCCCTTGAAGTCCATTATGGGACCTTTGAATTTGAGGTTAGGGTCCTGAGAACAGGGAGGGGAACCTGTTCATCCCCCAGTCTCTCTCTCTCTCTCTCTCTCTCACACACACACACACACACACACACACACACACACACACACACACACACACCTGGCCTCCTGCACCAACAGTGTCTGCTGTGACTTATGTGTACCCTTGAGACCGCTGTAGACAACTGGGCCTAGAAATGATGAGAAAGCATTATAAAAGACAGTTTTGTCTTTTCAATGCAAGTGGTGTTACAAATACCCCATGTGGTATAATAAAAAATATTTGGTTTCTGTAGAGTTTCTGGCACAGAGTCCAAAAAACTCTTGGAATTTACTGTCTTTGTATTCTGATGAAATGATTCTTGGGGGAGCCCTAGATAGCTTCAGGATGGGGACTAGCCACCAGCAAAGCCACACCTGTGACTACAGGATTAGAACTTTAAGCCCCGTCCCCAACCTCGGGAAAGAGGGAGGCCAGAGATGGGGTTCAGTCGCCAATGGCTAATGATTTCATAAATCATGCCTACGAAATGAAATTTTCATAAAATCCTTTAAACAACAACATTTGGGGAGCACATCCACCTGCCGGGAGGGGGGTACACACCCCAACTCCGCAGGCACAGAGGCTCCTGTGCACGAGGCCTGTGGGACCATCTCCATCTGGCTCTTCATCTGGCGTCTTTATAGCACACTGTCGTGGTAGGTAGAGCACTTTTTGAGTCTCTGAGTTGTTCTAGCAAATATCAAACCCGAAGCGTGGGTAGCCCAGGCACCCCATTTGTGGCTGTGTCTGAAGTGGCAGCAGCCCTGTCTGACTTAGCCCTTAATCTGTGGAGTCTACACTAATTCTGGATAGTTAGTGACACAATTGAATTGAATCGTTGGACCTGCAGTTGGTATCAGAGAATTGGTTGGGTCGCACTTTCGTGCCAACAGAGACAGCGTGATATAGTGAGACTCACACACATGTCGCAGTCAGGACACCCAGATTTTAATCCCAGCTCTGTTGACCAGCTCGGCCCTCTGCCTCCCCTACCCCTGTTTCTGCATCTGTAAAATGAGAGGGTGTTAAATAACCCTGGGGGTTAACACCTGGACTCTGTACTCCTGCCAGGTGGCCGGGTGATTATTATGCACTCTGAAGTTGAGAACCACTGCTTATGGCCTCCCTACTTCAGAAAACAAAAAATTAAAAGCCCCAGCTATGTATTTAGGAAAATTCTAACTTCCTCTATTCTTGCCACTTCAAACAATTCAAACTTTTAAATTGCTGACGCACCAGCAAAGTATCAGGAGTAACCCGGCTTTCTAACCTGCCCTCTGCTGAGACCCTGAGACCCACCTGCGGCAACTTTCTCCTTTCAAGTCTGTGGAGGCCCAGTGAAGAACTTAGTCGGAAGCTCCTTAGAGTTATCAGTAACTTGGAGAAGCAGCTGAAGTCAGGCCTGGGAAGCAAGCAAGGAATTCAAACAACAAAATTCCCCCAAGACCCAACAAATGCAGCTGAAGAGGCAACACTTTGCTGCCAGGTTGGCAACGACAGATGGCAAGACCCACGTGCGTACACACACACATGCTCACACCAGCGAAACTGAGTTTGTAGTGTGTCAGCTAGGTGGCCCGCAGCTTGGAGACGACCCAATCCACCAGAGGCGCAACGGTCTCGTCAAAACAAGCCCAGCGCTGGGCGGATCACCCCGGTTCCCAGGCCAGCGCCCCGGCCGTCCTGCCAACACCGGCTCGGTCTGCACTAGGCTTTCCTCTCCCTTCTCCCTCCTTCTTTTTTGCTACGTCCCCGTGATTGTTCTGATTATGGAAAAAGCCTTCATGTTGGAAAATTGGAAAACAGAAACATCAAACGAAATTTAAATCTTTCCCAATCATACAGAGAAAACTGCTATATATACTTTGGGGTACTCTCTCTCAGTCTTTTTTCATATGTTTTCACATATGTTTTCTCAACACAGTTGGGATTATACTGTACCTGCGTAGCTCAGTACAGAAGCTACTTACCTTTTCATGTGTGGCCATTTACATTTAAATTTTAAATTCATTAGAATTCAAAGTTCAGTTCCTGAGTCACACTAGCCAGAGATTGCAAGTGCTCAGTAATCACGTGTGACTAGCGGCTGTGATACTGGACGGAGCAGGTATTGAACGTGGCCGTCATCACAGAATTCTCTTGGACGGCGCTGGTATATGCAATTTTATACTCTCTCTCTCTTTTTTTTTTTTTTAACCTATGGCATATACTATGAGCATTTCCTCATTTAGTCAAACATTCTTTGATAACATGATTTTTAATGACTCCGTAACATGGCATTATATGTTTGTCCCGTAATTTATTTTACAGATCTTCTACCGTTGGCCACTGACGTTACCCACTCGTTGTTGTTATAGTGTCGTGATGAGCCCCCTTGTCCTTACATCTTGATCTGTGTCCCTGAGTATGTCTAGATTACTAAAATAAGTGGAGATGCGTCAGGGAAGGGACACATTTTCAAAGCCTTGAAATCCGATGCCCGGTTGCTTCCGGGAAAGGTCTCCCTCTCCCTGGCAGGACAGTTGTGCCTCGTTCTTCCTATGAAAACCCTCTGAGAAGACACGACTCAGGAAGGAAGCCCTGTCTGTCCATCTCTGAGCGCAGAGCCCAGTGCTGTGGGCAAGAGGTGTCCGGAATTAGGAGGAAAATGGCCACCCATGGAGAACACTGAACTAGATCATCCCTGGGTACCAGAACCTTCTACGGTCTGAGCTCTGTCTCTGGAAGGGGCATTTGGACAGAGCACATATGATGGTTAATTTTATATGTCAGCTTGATGCCCAGGTAACTGGTAAGATAATGTCTGTAAGGGTTTTTCTGGAAGAGATTGGCATTTGGGAGACTGAGTAAAGATCACCTTCATCACTGGGGGGAGGGGGGTGGGCATCATCCAATCCAGAGGGCCTGAATAGAACAAAAAGGTGGAGAAAGGGGGAATTTGGTCTCCCCTTGACCTCAGAAGTCCATCTCCTCCCGTCCGTGGGCACTCCCAGTTCTCGGGCCTTCAGACTTGGACTGAGACTTACACCACCACCTTGCAGACAGCACACTGTGGGACATCTCAGCTCCTATCGACCTACTGGCTCTGCTTCGCTGGAGACCCCTGACTCATGCAG